GGGACTTTCTCCTTTAATTTTGCTGCCACACCACTTTTGCTACCAATCATAGTGCTTGCCCCATCACTTCCAAAACCACACATCTTTTCATTCATTGATAAGTCTAGGTCATGGCACACAGAACAGATCTTATCAGTTATCGTTTGAGCTTTGCAATTTGAAAGCTCAAATGTTCCAAGAAATGAACACTTAATGATTCCTTTATCTGAAACATATCTCACATACAAAATAAGCTGTTCAAGAACGGCGATGTCAGTTGTTTCACCAGCCAAGATAGCAAAGAAAGGTGAAGCCTTTACTTCCTTCAAATGCAAAATGTCATCATGGACAACTTTTCCAAGAGCTTCAACAACTTCCTGCATGAACCGTTCCGATGTATACTTTGCATTGTCTGCTTTTCTTATCTTTTGAAGATATTCACATCCCAGTGACTCGCACAGTTCAATCAAAGACTCAAAGTTGGTTGTGTGTGACACTTCCGCCTTTATACGCCAGTACATACATTTTAAGTGGCCAATAAATGCCTTTCGTTCGGCACTCAACACTTCTTTAAAGGCACCTTCTATAACACCATCAACAGCTGTTAAACCAAGTTGAACTTCCATAATAACTGCAACATTGTGGTGATTTGTTTTTTCGTGTTCTTTAAAGCTTCCCGTTTGAAGTTGAAACACGGAACATCAACCCAAACAGTACATCCTTGTCTTACTCTCTGGGGTCTTTGGTTATGTTTTCTACACAACTTGCATAACATACCATTGTGATTATTACTCCCACTGTCATTGTTTATTGTAGTCTCAAGCCACGGAAAGTCTTTCAGCCAAGCTCGATCAAAACCTGATTTTCGGTGTTTTGAATTAACAGATGTTGAGAGCTCCGACTGCACTTCTTCCCCGGCCGCATTACTTTCTCCTTTCTGTCTCTTTTCCAGAGAAAAGAATGAACTTAACTTACTTTGAGAAGCTTTCCTTTTCTTTTCTGAACACGCTGAGTCCACTGAACACGCCATTTTTGACACGCCTTCCACGAAAGCGGGAATTTGGCTTAGTACTTCATGAATGACACCTTGAAGTGTCCTTCTGTTCTCGGGACAATTTAAAGATGGCTGCCGTTCAACGAAACGAATGCATCACAGGTTTGAACAAATTCATGCAAGGGTAAATCACTTAAATAACCATATTAATTGCGAGAAAACACAGTAAAAAAAACACCAGGCAATGTTTCATCAACTTTATTGAGTGATTTCTTCTTTACTTATGGATAGGAATTCCCATTTCCAAATCTCAAATTAAGCTTACATTGGGTTAAATCTTCATTTTTAAGCCAGG